GATACCGAAGGTAGATTTGGAATCAGCGCTTCAAGATGCAGATAATGGTATAAGTTTGATTCTGAAACCCCACGGCCACCTAGTATCCTTCCCTTGTAAGAGAACTTTTAGCGAAGCTAACAACATGTTTATCAATTCATCAATAATTATTCACAGGAGATATTCACCGAGAACAGGGCAGTTCAGCATAATCAAGAAATGGATAGAGAACATGGAGAAAGTCCTAATTTAGAACTTGCTCGACAAATGAAAAGCAAAAGTGAGATCATTGAGGGTAGTTTCAGAGAATCCAGCAACAGATTTGAAGTAATTCCATGTATCCGTATGTTCAGGTGAGTAATGTCGCCAACGAAACAGCTCAGCCATGGTAGCTGGCTGAAATTAATATTTACATTTATGCTATCATTTGTAAGTGAAAGCCAAATTACCTCATCTAATACCGGTGAGAGAGCGTCATCGGTTTGTTTCGTTTCTTTGGCGTTTTTGTCAAAATCATCTTCTTCGAACTTTTCGTGACCGAAAACGGATTCTTCATCTTCTGAAATGCTTTAACGCTCGCAAAATTTGAAATCGGGTTAATCCGATAATCTGATTACCATCCTGAGCCTCCTCTTCCATTTCAGTCAAAAGTAAACCCGTTCCTCCACACTGACAATTGAGCAGCTCATGAGTTTCGCATAGACTTTCCTTTACACTGAATATATCTTCAAGATCCTCGTCAAGGAATGTCGATTTTGCTGTAAAAACGGAAATGCAACAAAGACATCAAAGACAGTAGAAAAAAGTCAATTAATACTTTACATGATTGGTCACTGAGGCTTATAATGGAAGATAGTCCGGTTTTCTTCACCTGCCTCTGGAGGATTTTTTCATCGATAGTACCCTGAATCGGTAGACTCTTGGTTACATTTCCACATACCCGGATTAATTTAGCTTACCGCAGTAACCAGCCTATAAATATGACAAGGCCTGGTCTGTCCATCTCTCCATATTCTTGCCATGGCTTGAAGATCTGATGCTGGGTTCCAGTCGGAATCGAAGAGTATGAGTCTGGACGCTCCAATAAGATTTAGCCCAACACCTCCTGAAGCGCAGTATGGTCAATTTTAAGAGAGGACCACCTTATTTGTCCAGAAACAAGCGAAAAGATGGAGCGTAAAACTGCACATACATGCTAAATTTCATAAGAAAAGTATTTTATTAAGTCAATGCTCTGTGAAAGCCTTTCAGGAAT